AGCCAGGTTTAAAAACAAGAAATGGAGGGTAGGGTAAAAACCAGTGAGAGCACCCTGCTTGAGGAGCTCTGCCAAGACAATGTGAGGAATGTGGGTTGGACTGGACCATGGGAAATTCCTGCACGGAAAAGCCATATAAACGCTTGAAGCTGTGAGTTTCCAGAGCCAGTGTCATAAACACTGGGTGTGCCTTTGTCTCAGGAGTGGGGGAAAGGGTGCAGATATTTAAAAACCTGGAAAAGTACGTGCTGAGTCACAGGAAGCTCATGATGATATCCTCTAACCACAGCCTAGAGTGGACGTGTTTCATGCTGTTGAGTCCAGTGCTGCTGGCTCTGTATACCACCCTTGGATGGTCATGATTCTGTTAAAATGGGAGCGACATTGTCCTGTTTCCAGGGGCGGAGTACTTAACAACCAAAGCAAGCACAGGCTAACTTGTACTTATTCACTAATATATAGTGAACAATTTCACACGGTTTTCATGTAAGCTCGTGCTCACTTTGCTTACTGAGTGCTCTGTCCCTGTCAGGAGTGTCAATTTGAAAAGAAGCTTTGATTGTGTAGGACGGTGCTGTGGGGTTGGGAGAGAGACAGATGTCAGCAGAATCTTTGATGTGGTAAAAAATATGTGAAGTCATTCACTACAGATTTATAAGTAAGCACAAGTACGCCTATGCTTCCTTTGTTTATTGGGTAATCTGACACTACCAATTTCCTATCTCCTCTCACTCTAATCTGCTACCCAGAAGCTTCAGAATAATTTGTCTCAAATACTTCTTTTCTCCTGTTTAAAACAACAAACACTTACTATCTCATAGTTTCATTGGTCAGGAATTCAGGAATGGTTTAGCTGAGTGGTTCAGGTGCCGGAGCTTGAGAGGCTGCAGTCATCTGAAGGTTTGACTGGGCACACACTTCTTTTATCATGTGTCTGCTTAAGGACTGTAAATGGCACCCTATTGCCAAAACCATTTGTCATTAAGTTAACTCCCACTCATGTGACCCCTTTTGGTTAGAGTAGAACTGCACTCCACAGTGTTTCCAATGGCTGATGCTTTGGAAGTAGATAGCCAAGCCTTTCTTCTGGGTGGACTCAAACTGCCAATCTTCCAGTCAGCAGCTGAGCACATTCAGCCATTGTACCAGCCAGGCACTCCTCCCGCTGCCTGCTTCAATCTAAACCTCCAACTTGGTTTCATTCTGCCTTTCTGAATGTTGGTCCCTCCACTTCTTTAGTATCTTCCGGTCCTATTGGCCAGCTCTGCTCACTAATTCACACATGTTCATGGGTTAGGCCTCTGTTCCGATGCTTTAGTCTTGACTTCCCAATGTGGTTGTAAGCTCTTTGAGGGAAAGGTTTTAAGTCTTTTCATATTTATTTCTCTTCTCCTGAGGACCTAGTGTTAAGCATAGGGTAAGCAACCAAAGCCTGCTGCTTGGCTGAGTTATAATTTACTCTGAGCAGTACTTAGAGCAGCACCAGTCATAGTTCAATTTCTAATAAGGGTTTTTGGATTGAGATAATGATGATCTCAGAATCAGAATTTATCTTAGTATGTTTTTCCTAATGATAATATTGACAATGAAAGCTTCAAGGTGACCTGGTGTAATAGACTTTGAAAGGGCTGAGTTTGAATGCCAAGCTGTCACTTATTAACTGTGTGGACCTGGGTGGGGCACTGGGACTCACGATTTCTTCATTACAAAAGAAGGATAATCACAGGGGCCTCTGAATAGTGTGAGGATTCAGTTACACCCTCCCAAACAAATTTTTTTTTCAGCACAGTAAATGACTATAATAAACATTCAATAAATGTTTTTATTACAGAAACTTTGAAAATACTATCATTTTTTATTCCATTGGCTTTCTATTTTCTCTTTGTACCCAGATCAGAAGTATCATTTCTAATTTTCTTTATGGGAGCTCTGGTGGCATAGTACCTAAGGCATTTGACTGCTAACCAGAAGGCTGGTGGTTCAAACCCACCAATCACTCCTTAGAAGGAAGATTGGGATATCTACTTCTGCAGAGATACTGCCTCAGAAACCCAAGGAGGGGTTGCTATGTATTCTTTGAGATCAGATATTTTCTGATAATGAGAAGTTGGTACACATCATAATGTGTCTGAGAGCTCTAGTAGCCTCCAGGAAAATCTTTAACCAGAAACCTTTTAGTGTCAGCATTACTAACAGAACTTTTGGACTCTTTAGGGCTTTTATCTGCCCTCCAGTCTCAGCAGGTATCAAGGAACTTCCTC